TGGCAACTATCTTCGTCTTGGAGGTGGCCAACTGCAATCCAGCCGTTCCCAAGCATTTGTTGATCACCCGAATCCTCCGGATCAAACGGCCTAAGTCTGACTCAAGAACAAAGATATCATCCTGGTAGAAGAGCAAATCAATGTCAATGTCAGGAGCGCACCGAGGTAGTTCCCGCCACTGACTGCACTCGACCAATTCAGAGAGGAGGGAGTCGATCAGGAGTCCAAAAACTTCGGCGCAATCGGGAGCACCTTGTTTAATCCCGTTATTAGGCTCCAGAGCAATCAAGTCTCCCCCAGGAACAGCTCCTTGCAATCTGTGAGTGCGAAGCTCTCCAAGAAGATATCTAAGTTCATGGCTTAAGTTCTTCCCGTGCATTCTGGTGCAGAGCAGCTGGGCCACTTTCCGACGGTCGACCTTGTCAAAGGCACCTGCGACGTCCAGCTTACATAAAAGACTAGGAAGCCTCCATTCGCGGATCACATCACGAGCTCTGCAAACACTCCCGATCAAGTCTGCAGCTTGGCGACCTTTCCCACATGTGGAGATGCGTGATCCGGTTCGCAAAGACGGTAAAGCACGACTACAAACAAGGCGATTGACCAACTTGTTAAATGCACTGCTGACACAGATGGGCCGTAGTTCGGAAGGCTTGGAAGGACAGTCACACTTCGCAAGTAATGCCAGGAAGCTTTCACGCCAAATCTCCGGGGTCTCTCCGGTCCGAATGATGTGATTCACCAGAGCAACAAACTGAGGGGCAAGGGTGTCATGGCTAGAAATCTCCCTCAGCAAGTGCACACTGATCTCATCAGGCCCAATAGAGCTTCGGCATCTCATCTGTTGAAGTTCAACGCGAATGTCAAGGATGGTGAACTCCAGAAACTCTCCCTCAATGGTCACATCCTTGATGGTCTGTGCAAGTTCAACATCCCAGTTTGTTCTACTCGGATCGACCATCTTGTTCTCAAGATGTTCACGTACTTCTCTGGTGAGTGTGGAACTGGCCTTGTCCTGCAGCAAGTTACCCCACCAGCCTCGACGTCGTTTTTTCTCGTTCTGAAGTTGTCTAAACTCATCCCAGGATCCCACCAGAATGCGACTCAGGCGCCTATCCTCCCAATCACGTCGAGCTCTTCGGCGAAGACGATGTGCACGTTTCCAGGTGGCCTTGTCATTCGTCCCGCGAGCTTCTTTGACCGTGTCCTTGATCTCCTCTGTGTCCTTGTACGCCTGGCTCCGACGGGGTCTGGTACACGTGCGGGCAAGCTCAGTGATGTCAGTGTCGTCGACGAGAATGGCATCGGGGAGCTCGGTATTCACCCATCTTGCCCGTGAGTCATTGCCCCAGATCCGAGAGGACCCCTTGCCCTGGCGGAAAAGCTCACAGTGTAGAATTGCATGATCGGTGTTGATGGAGAAGCGACGATCAGGCTCAATGGTGAGGGGCGGAGGGCACAAGCCACGCGTGAAGATCATATCAATCTGTCTTCCAGAGCGAGTTTCATCTCTGGGGAAGTGAGTTGCAGTTCGGGCCTGTGATGAGCAGGGTGCAAGAGCATTACACCCATGCTTAGTAGCCTCACTCGCAAGGACGTTGAGGTTTGCCGACGAGTGTCCAAGGACAAGGAGAGCATCTTGATCATCCCCTGCTTTCTCATCCAATCCAATCCAGGACGGAACTTCGTTGGCATCAACTCCACAGAGCAGAGGAAACTGCCTCCATTTAGTAGGCAACTTGTGGAAGAAGTCTGAGACTGGTGCTTGATACTCAAGATTGGTCACGCCGGTCGGAGCATGCAAGGAGCCACACACCACTCTCCCCAGGCCCACAAGACGAGCAAGAACCCAGATCCCTCGCTTGGTGTGCACTTTATGGATGATGCTATCGAAGATCTCATTCGCAAAGCCAATTCCGACACCTCTCCATTGATCACGATCACGGTGTGGAAGGCAGTCGTATCAACTCCATCCCAGCCGACTTTTCCCTTCGCAATTTCCTGCACAAACAAGATGCTTGCATCAGCCGCAACAAGGTCCAAGGGAATCAAAGGTTGCCCAGCGAGGTTCCACTGAGCCACTCTCCCCCAGCGATAACGAGAGCATCGTGAGGAAACATTCCGCCGAGCTGAAAGAGTTCGTCCCTTTGGGAGGCCAGCATATTTGCCCCAGCCATCAAACTCTCCCGGCAAATTCTCCTGAGTGAAACAAAATCCATCGTCGGCAGATCACAACTCCCGCTCCAAGGCTGATTTAGCCTCGTCTGGAGAGCATCCCGCCGTAGCAGCCAAAGCCTGAAGGTCAACCCAACCTCCCGAAAGAAGCACTGTCTCACTGTCTCTTGGTGCCTTGTGTGTTGCGCTTGCGAGCTTGTGTTGCCCGCACCACACTGATCCCATGTTCCAATCGCAGTCATATGCCGAGAACTGTGTGTTGAGGAGGTTCAAAATTCCTCCCTCTGCATTCTTGGTGCCCATAGCGAGATCACATGCAACTCGACGAACCTGAGAAACCAAGGTGCTCCGGAGTCGTGCATTCTTCGTTTTCACAAAACTCGCCCACATCGTCTTTGGTGCTCCGATCTCCTTCGTGCTGGGCAACTCAACCTTGGTGGCAGAGAAGAGTTTGATGACTTCCCACATGCGTGTGCGAAGTTCCGGAGGTCCCGTAGATGAAATTTCAGCATACCAGCTGACCGACGGGGCCCATAGATAGCCAAGGAGTCGACATCAAGGAGTTTTTTCATCCCTTCAGTCGCAAGGAAGGCCGCACTCTCCTGCTCGATGATGGACCTTTTAGTGTCTCGTGCCCAGCCACCGACAACTAACGTTCGTTTCTCTTCTTCAGAGAGAACATCTCCCGAACGGCCACTGGACGAAGCAGGTTCAGCACCATCTGCAACTCCTCCAGGAACCCCTCCGGTCACATCTTTGGCATTTCGCTGTTGCAAGTACGAAGCCCAGGGATCAGAGGGAGGAGCTGCGGCGAAACCCTTCGAGGCTGGGCTGATACCATTCGCCTTGATCTCGCCAAGCTGTACCTTCATGTTCTTTACCTCTTCAGCTAGGTCATCAACCCTCTTACTGGTAGTCTCTTGTGCACGTTGTATCGCAGCTCCTGTTTTCTCGACAGCGGCAGTACGGGTTCGGATGTTGATCATCTCATGGCTCTGCTGGACCTGGACACTTTCACATTGGTCAAGTCTCCCCTGAAAGGTCCTCCACGCCTCCTTCATCTCTTTGACATGTCCAAACAGGAGTTCTTTGATGTCACGGCTACTTAGTGGAGCATCATCCCCATGTAGTGCACGCTTCGAGGGGCTATCCAACTCAGACTCACCTTCTTCACTGTCATCCACAGGAACGCAGGCGGCAGCAGCAGCAGCAGCAGCAGGATCACCTCGACAACGACGGCGGACATCACGTTCCCGTTTTCTCTTCTCCTGCTTCACCTCAACCTCCATAGCAGGTGGCTTAACGTCCTCCTCAGATTCTGCAATCTCTGTTGGGGATCCCTTCGCATCGCCATCTTCACCTTGTTCACCTTCCTGGTCACATTGCATTGGCTCGGGGACCTTGGTCGCCATGTCGAGAAAAAGAAGACACCGTGCAGGAAGGAAAGGAAAAGAAAGACACAGAGTGCTCCAAGTAGTCACCCAGTGAAAGAGCACAAAGGTGTAGAAGGAGGGGAAGTCAAAGAAGAGGAAGAAATGGAAGAGCCCGAATTCGTCCACCAGGTAGAAGTTGTAGAGCAAGCTCACCCCGCTGTGTGTATGACAGCACCTCTTCCAGCAGCAGAAGGTCTCCTCTTTCCACACTCCCAGCTGGGAGATCGAACTCCTCGATGCCAGCAACAAGCCAAACAAAGTCTCCCACGATCTTCTCCTTCAGAAGGCACCAACAACAGCAACGTTCGGGTAGCGGAGCTCGTCGAAGTGGCCGCCAGATCACGAGGTCACCAATGATGCCACAACTTAACGAACTGGTAAGCAGAGATGAGGAACTGGCCGCCGAGGTGTCGAGAAGAATGCAAGGCAGGCTGGGGACAGGACAGGGGCTTGAAGACACATAAAACCAGGATTCGGGCCAACAGCTTGAGCCGTAGCCATTTGGGTTTGGGGTTTGGGGTTTAGGGTTTAGGGTTTAGGGGGTTGTCAAAATTAAGGTCCCTTTTGGGGTACCCTAAACAATAGGTGCCTTGTTATATTAGGGATCCAAAAAAGGGGCCCTAATTTTGACAACCACCCAGGTGCCTTTCCGGATCTCCCACTGTCCCTTAATGGAGGAATATACCTTAAACCATGTTAGAGATCCTGCAATAGTTGAAGGTATATCCCTGCATGTTGGAAGATTAAGTCGCTAGAGGAGGGTTCGCTTAAGGGTTCGATAAGGGCTCTCTAACATAAGATTCAGGGCTTTAGGGCTAAGCTTTGGGGCTCATAGGGGCTCCTTTACAGGTTCTGGAAGGTTTACTACCAAGGGTTAGTAGACTATCCGTCCCGAACCAAACATCTAATTACTATTGTTCAGCCAGAATTTATGGCGATCGGGTTAAGTTTGGACGTACTGTCAAGGGCGTTTCATGATTGCGTACATGTTTCAGGAGTCCAGGACATGAGGTGCAAGTTCGAGGGGCTAGGTAGGGTTTAGGGTTTAGGGTTTAGGGGTTTAGTACCTATGAAATACTGACACAAACTTGAAGCACCTCCGGACACTCCCAGAAAACCTGCGAAAGCTTGCAAAACTCTATAAACCCCAAATCCTAGGCCTGCAAACCCTAGACTCCAAACTGCCAACCCCAGACTAGACCCATTAACAACAAAAGCTGAATCCTACCCCCTAGAACCCTAAGCCCCAAACCCCTAGAACCATAAACCCTAAACCCTAAACCCCTAGACCCGAAAACCCTAAACCCGCAGACCCAGAAACCCTAAACGCCTAAACCCCTCGCCCCCTAAACCCCTAGACCCATAAGCCCTAAACCCCACACCCTTGCCGTCCTAGAACACCGCGGAGCTGCGAGTTCCGATCCTTAGCAGAACCCTAAGGGTCCAAAGGACCCAAAAATACGGTACTTGGTTAAGGATAGTAGTTATGTAGCTCTACATTTGGGAGAGTATATGATTATTAGGTACTTGAACCCTTAGGCGAACTTCAGAGACCCAGAGCCGCCACAGCATGACATCCCTGATGCCGCTCTGAAAAGCACACGCACACACTAGTTAAACAATATAACACTAAGGATACATATGCATATATATATATATATGTATACAAAGGTATGTATGTATGTATATATATATATATATATACCCCCCCGTTGACAGACCATCCCCTTCAAAACATCGCTCCCACCGGTGTGTTCGTGCTTTTTCCGGGGTATCGAGTTTGAGCCCTCCGAACGTATCTGTGGAACCACCAAAAGACTCGTTGACAGACCATGCCCTTTCAACTCAGTCGTAGTGCATGGTCTGTGATCGGGGGAGGGGGTACTCAGCTTTCAAAAACTCAATTCCAAAATTTCCAAAATTTCCAAAATTCTCTCCCTTAACTTTCCGGATTTCCAAAATTTCCAAAATTTCCAAAATTTCCAAAATTTCCGAAATTTCCAAAATTTCCAAAATTTCCAAAATTTCCAAAATTTCCAAAACGGCCCGACCTAGTGGACAGGATTTTTCCAAAACATAAGGGCGGACTTTTTGGAAATTTTGGAAATTTTGGAAATTTCGGAAATTTTGGAAATTTTGGAAATTTTGGAAATTTTGGAAATTTTGAAATTTTGGAAATTTTGGAAATTTTGGAAATTTTGGAAATTTTGGAAATTTCGGAAATTTTGGAAGTTTTGGAACTTTTGGAAATTTTGGAATCTCTGGACCTTGGAATTGATTCTCAGGAGGGCTGATTGTGACCCATCCGATGACAGACCATGCACGACTTACTTGCAAAGGCAAGGGCTGTCAATACTCATGCCCATATTTAAACGAATATCTCTCAATCTACCTGTCTATCTGTATATACATATATGTATTGATACTCCTACATATAGTATTGCCATTGGAAATACTGACAGTGATCATTTGTTGAATGCTCAAGCTAATACCAGCATTACTACTAATATTACACTTCTATAAAGCTTAGTACGAATATGCATAACACAAATACTAAGATTGATTAGTATTGCTCTTATTACTCCTACGCATATCAATAACCATATTCATATTGATAATAATGTATATTAATACCAATACTAACACACACCTGTATGTACTAATGTACATAAACATGCATACCACCATATTAAAATACAAATCCTTTAACTCACTCATGTATTCAACTGTTAGAATTTCACGTGATCAAGAGTAATAATACTACAAACATTCTTTCGAATGTATATCATCAATAATATTATAGTACTAACGCTAACACTACTGCTAATACTTAACACAAAATTTATACTAACATCAATATTTACATAGCTATTGATACTCCTACGAATACGAATACGTAAACTCTTGTGCGTTAACAGTAGTGCTATCACCAACACTAATACGGACTTTGATAATCTGCTGAATATTCAAGAATGCCACTAGTATTACCAGCATGAACACCCATATTATGGCTATTACGAGTATAAATAGTCCTATTTCTAATAATATTGACATTAATACTGCTACGAATACCAATAGTATATTCATATTGATATGAAAACTAATATCATTACTAATGGACACCTGCTTATACTAATGTACATAAAATACAGCTAACACTACTGCTAATACTTCACACAAAATTTATACTAACATCAATATTTTACATAGCTATTGATACTCCTACGAATACGAATACGTAAACTCTTGTGCGTTAACAGTGATGCTATCACCAACACTAGTACGGACTTTGATAATCTGCTGAATATTCAAGAATGCCACTAGTATTACCAGCATGAACACTCATATTATGGCTATTACGAGTATAAATAGTCCTATTTCTAATAATATTGACATTAATACTGCTACGAACACCAATAGTATATTCATATTGATATGATGACTAATATCATTACTAATAGACACCTGCATATACTAATGTACATAAAATACATACCACTATCTTAAGATACAGATATATACGTCAGTGCATTCATGTATTAATGCTTTGGCATAGGCATATGCCCATATACCAATGTATCAATATACCTCTCGTTGTTGTATGAGTATACTACACGAATATGTGACTGTACTCATATACGGCTACTGCACTATGCAAGAATACCGACATGACAAGTTCGTATACCAATCCAATATGCCAACATACTGATATACTTATAAATGATTAGATAAAACAGTCATATAGTACACATACTCGTACACTAATATGCTAACGTTCGAATATACTGGTATGTCAATATACTAGTAAGCTAGTACAGCAGTATAGTAGTGTATTCATGCACCAGTTGTACTAACATGTAAAATATACTAGTATACAAGTATGCAAATATTTTACTGTTCGAATACATTGATGTACTGATATACTCATCTGCTAATATACGAGACTATCAATATACTAACATATCCAAACTAACTAGTTCTAATATTGATACTAATACTAGCACTTCTGCGAATATAAGCTGCTGTTAACCCAGCATTAAGACTGATACTGATACTACTCGTAGCAGTGGTGCTGTATTACTGACATTGACACTGGCACTAGCGCTAACTCTAACACGAACATGAGCACTAACACTAATTTATAGTTGGCAATATTGATACGTATACTTACAGCAAACAATAGTACTAATATTAATAATAATACTCACCCTAATACCGATACTACCACAAGACTGTTACGTAACTCATGTGCCGCACGTCTGGTGCTATACTATGTACCTCATGTAAAGGTTTTGCTTCATAGAATATCGTCGTGCACGGTGTTTTTTAGACCCGCGGTCTGTCAACGGGGGGGGGGTGAGCATATATATATATATATATATGTCTGTTTATTACAACATACATACATGTATATAGAGCGACAGCGCGAGAGAGAGAGAGAGAGAGAGAGAGAGAGAGAGTGTGTGTGTGTGTGTGTGTGCGTGATGTCCAGCATGAGCAAACTCTAGGCGCCCTAATTCAGAGTCCTCTGGTTCAGAAACACCCTAAACCCACCCAAAAACCCAACCTAAGACCCATAGGATGGAACCACCAGAAGAACCATACTCCACCACATAGAAAAAACACCCAACCTCGACCTCTTTCATAAACTTTAGCAAGTTGCCTTAACCCCTTAGTTTTATTCAGGGAACCGATTTCATTTGTTTTCATTTTGTATGTCTTCTGATATATTTCATTTGCATTTTATGTGTATGTGAAAAGTGGTCGTTGCTTTCGGTTCGGCAACATCAGCAGGAATTTCATGAATTGTCCTATCCTTATGGTTGCCGAATAGCATAAAGTAATCTTCTAAAAAACTCATCATTCGTCAGTAAGGACATGACCAAACACTTCGTCAATATTGGGTTGAGGTTTCTCAGTCTCTAGATGTGGCTCATCATCTTCGGGTGGCCTAGGGGGGTGGCATGGTTAGAACATGGAAGTGGTAGTTGCTAACTGCAACAAGAGCTACGTCTTACTTGCCTGGTATCCTGGATCCCAACAGAAGTCAAAACTACACTTTGGGATGACATTCGGATAATGATTGTACGCCACGATGGTTAAATGTTGCCCACCCTACTACTGGAAGAACGAATGATAATAAGGATCCCTGAGGATAAACAAACACCTCGCTAAGCCCGCGGCCACAACAGCATCTAGAACACCAAGAGTGTGCCAAAGCTCGGTCCTTGCATGGGTAGTTCTCTAGTCCGTTTTGAGGTCCCAAAACAGTACGACACCCTTATGAAAAGGACCTAGAGGGAACCTAACATAGAGAACTATCCGCATGGCGATTGCACCCGGCTTGCTTTCTATGGAAGCGATTCGCCGGCTCACCTAGGATCTGAGTCTAGGACCTTTTGAACACGGAGTCTAAGCCTAGCGCCAAACAGGCTAGGCTTGGGTTTATGCTGGGAAATTCCAAGAATTTCGTCTTCCGTCCGAACTTCGAAGTCCCTGAACCCAGGCCTTCCAAAATCCTTTAATTAAGGAATATACCTTAAATCATATTAGGGATCCTATTATAATTTAAGGTATATTCCTTAATTAAGGAATTTTGGAAGGTCTGGGACCCCTAAACTCCTAAACCCTATACATGTAGTTCAGGAGTCTGGCTGGCCGCTGACTCTGCTTGTTACCGCAACAATCGAGACTCGCTTCGGTTTAGGGTTTAGGAACGCCTTGCCGACTCAAAAACCCAAGAGCCAGGTGTCTGCAAAGCACCCGCAGGCCTAGCGGAAGTGACGTGGTTATGGTACAGTTCTGGCGACTGTGCTTCTGGGTTAGGACGAGGAATTTGGTGAGTGTATATACATTTTTGGATTTTAATATGTGGAGACTAGTGATTGCATACTCGAAAAATCCTTTCACTGAAATTCCCTTATCATCGCAATAAATGCCAAAAGGCACCATATAGTGTCATCCGCATGTGAAGACTTCTGTGCCTCCTTAACCCGGAACAACCTCAATAAGCCTCTAAGTCCTTGTAAGACCCTGTCGCCACAAGGGACCTCCATAAAACCCCTATGAGAACCCCTTGTATTCGACCCTTACGACATATGGGTAGTTGTCATAGTTATGGTCCCATTTTGGGTACCCTAAATATTAGGCGCCGTATTATCATGAGGACCCAAAAGGGACCATAATTTTGACAACCACCCATATGAGGTTTCCGGCCTTACTGTACCCTATAAACCCTGAACCGGAAAACCCTAAACTCTAAACCGCGCTCATATCTGTACCGACGGCCGAAAGTAGCTGAGGCCAGCCACAACGTCAGCAAAGGATAGAGAGCTGACATGCACCGAAGCCTCAGGGAAGTTTGACACGGCTTTTCTTTCGGGCACCGTTGTGCCCTGCAGTGCCAAAGAACTTTTGTGTCGGGCTTAGGGTTCAAGCCCATCTGCACCTTAAGCCCTAACCAGGATGTTTAGGGTCTGGAGGGATGGAGGGTTTAGGGCTTTGGTTCAGGGCTGTATAGGGCTTAAACGGCTGTATCGATCAATTTGGATGCGGCTTTGGATGCGGCAGGGACGGGCTGAGTCGTCGCATCCCCAACCCTGCGTCAATCCTAAACCCTGAAATGCAGTAGAGCTCCCCGCATCAAAGCCTCAATTCAAACCCCTAGAAAACCGAAGCTCCTGCGGTATCTTTATGACTAATAGGGTTTAACTTAGACTTGTAGGGTTGAACAGACAAATATTTAGGCCCGCCACGTTACACCCTGCATCCCAAAGTTACAAAAACTCACCTTTGGTTAGTAGGGAATGGAAGAATGGTAGTAACAGCAATTATAATTGTACCCCATTCTTCCATTCCTTACTAACCAAAGCAAGAAAGGGGCCCTGGCACGGAGTCCATGGCCGTTGCAAGGAGCGGTGCGCCGCCCGTCAGGCGCCTGTCCGAGATTTTGTCGAAACTAACGTAGGCGCCTTCATAAGCAGAATAGGGTATCAGTTTCCCCTCAAGAGTCCAAAGGACCCAATAATTCGGTACTCGGTTTCAGCATAGTAGTTATGTAGGTTAGGATTTTGGAAAGTATATGGTTGTCTGATGCTTGGACCCTTGGGGTTCCTATATTATAAGGGTTATTGAGAGTATTATAGGGTTGCTCTAACGCAGGGGCCTTAAAGAGTAGAACCGGTGCAAAAGTCTTGGGAGCCGCGGCATCTCAGATGATGCATCTGCACCCCCCATCTAACGCTGAAAGCTGAGGCTAAGACGAAAAACCCCGAATTCAAGTTCGAACCCTTAGATGAATGCGAGGACCTGCACCCCCACCACCGTCTCATGCTGGGTTCCGGGTGTTTTCGACTGCACGGCATTTTCTGCGTGGATGCTCAGCTCGCCATGCTTTCAGCTCGCGAATGGAAGCTAAAGTCTACTTCGAAGCCAACAGTCAGATGGCATCAAAGTGACAGCATACTACATCCGAAGGACACATTGCTGTACTATGATCTGCTCGTGCCTGACAGTCTTCTCTATGTATTATCTGTCATTTTCTGCAGCCCAACCCTAAACCCTAAACCGGATACTTCTGCTGCGGGTCAAAGACCCTCGGCGCCCTTGGGACTTTCAGGGACCTGGGTTCTACAAAGTGGGCAGCAAATGGCCCGGTTCACGCGAGCAGCTTGGAGCATCCATCTCTCGATGCACTCCACATGGAAGACGTGACCTGAGGTTTACGGTCTTAGGGCTCAGTTTAGGGTTTAGGGGTTTAGGCCGTAAGGGGTTCAAGGGTTTAGGGCTTGGGTGTGCGATTTTCGCAAGCCCAAACCCCGAAGCTCAAAGAGATTCCTGAGGCTCCGGCGGCATGGGAGGGAAGATACTTTGCAGCCAGGCTCCTGTTGCAAGAAAGCTCAAGCTCAGGGCTGTCTCTGCTTATCTACAACCTCGCTAGGTCTCGTATAACAACGTGTCAACGCTGAGTCGACATCACCATAGAAGTAGTGGTTGTGGTAGTAGAAGTACTACTGCTGCTGCTACTACTACTACTACTACTACTACTACTACTACTACTACTACTACTACTACTACTACTACTACTACTACTATTACTATTACTACGACTACTACTACTACTACTACTACTACTACTACTACGACTACTACTACTACTACTACTACTACTACTACTACTACTACTACTACTACTACTACTACTACTACTACTACTACTGCTACTGCTACTGCTACTGCTACTGCTACTGCTACTGCTACTGCTACTGCTACTGCTACTGCTACTGCTACTGCTACTGCTACTGCTACTGCTACTGCTACTGCTACTGCTACTGCTACTGCTACTGCTACTGCTACTACCACCCAAACCCTCGTGAAACAGAACAAGAACCCCTAATCTTATGAAACCCTCGTCTTCAAAATCATAAATCAGAAAACCCTGCGCAGACGGTCCAGGGTGGCCAGGCAAATGGCGCAGTCAGCTGTGCTCGCTTCCGGCGCCTCGCAACCCCGAAGACGAAACCCTAAACCTTAAACCCTAATGCCTACAACGCAACCACTAAACTTTAATCCTGAATCTTAGGGTTGTGGTTGGGTTGGAGGGTTGGGTTGTGTTGGGGTTGGGGTTGGGGTTTGTAACCCTAAACCACTAAACTAGGGCCCAAAAAAAGCACATAAGCAAAGATTAGGATAGGGATATCCCATATAAACCCCCTTAAAAGGAAGCCCAATAAGGTAGGGATATCCCTGTAAAATGCTTATGCTTATCTGCCTTTCTTGGCCCCTGACCTAAACCACCAAACAGCGAAACCTTCACTTCCACACCCGTGGCCCGCCAGCCTCAGGTCTCCAAGTCGTCGCCGCAAGGCGCGGCAAAGAAACATCCTGCTAGGGCCCCCTTAAAGGAATTAAGGTTTAGGGTTTAAGGGTTTCAGGGATTAGGGTTTAAGGGTGTAGGGTTTAAGGGTTTAGGGTTTAGGGTTAAGGGTTCCTTTACCCAGAAGTCAGAAAGTTGGAACATGGCTTTAAGAGTGTTGGTGCTAGGATCCCTTATACGTTAGCTTAAGGGCATGAGGACAATGATGCTCCAACTTTCTGGCTTCTACTAAAAGTGAGTCCTTCAAGGGTTCCTTGCGGGGGTCCCACGAGGGGTCCATTAAGGGGTTCGTTAACGGCTCCCTTCAGGGGTCGGTTAAGGGGCTCCTATATTACAAGGGCTATAGGGCTCCTTTACCGGCTGCTGTAAGGATTCCGTTGAGAGGTCTTTTAAGTGCTCCCCCGAAGTTTAGGCTGGGAGCCCTGAGCCCCCATGCCAAGATCGAATCCTTTACAACATTCGCTCTTCTTTGAAAAACAAAAGAGGGTGGCTGTCAAAATTAGGGTGCCTTCTTGGGTCCTTATTATAGTACGGCACCTATTATTTAGGCTGCCAAAGAAGGGACCCTAATTTTGACAACCACCCAAGAGGATGCCAGCCTCTGGCAGCTCGTTGGGCATGTAGCGCACTCGTCGACCCTGTCGGAAGATGTGCGCGATGTCCTGACTCCCAAGTCACCAACCCCTAAATCCTAAACCAACCTCCAAATAGACCCTAAACACTAAACCGTTATCGTACCCTATAACTATAGAGCCCTTAAGGGGACTCTTTACAACAGGCCCTAAACACTAAACCCTCATAGAACCCTATAGAGCCGTTAAAGGGACTCTTAACCCTCAACCCTACATAAAGCTCCAAACCTTCAACAGCCCGGAAACCAGAGCCAAGCATCCGTGTGGTTGAGCTTAATCACTCCACTTAGGGCTTAGGGCAGGGTAAGGAGGCAGAATTCCGTAGCTGATGTCTGTTCGCATTTTGCCGATTGCAGGTTGTGTTGGTGACTTCAGGGATATTGGAGTCTCCAGGATTACATCCCATGTAAAGCTCGTGAAGACCGGAAAGGCCTTGCAAACTACGGATTCTGTCTATCAGCCCTATAATCAAACCCTGAACCCTCAAACTCTGAACCATAAGCGCTAAACCCATCAGCCCCAGAAGCCATCCTGAAAGGGGATCCTACAACCGTAAACCCTGAATCTTACACCCACCTGAGTAAACAAGCAACGTTACAAAGGTAAAAAAGCACTATTCTTAGGGTCACATCCTTTTTAGAGGTACATTGGCTGCTCTAGCCCCGTCCCCCAGACCCGAAACCTTAAACCCCCGACGATGAACCCTGAAACTCTTCGAGGTCAGAGCTTTGTCTCATGAAGCTGAGGAGCGCCATGGAAAGTGGACTGCCAAATTCCCACGCCATGCCTGGGGTGCTTACGGTTAGGGTTTTGGGGCTGTGCGGTTCTTGCTTCATTACCCTAAGGCCCCAAACTAGTTCCTTTTTTGGGATATTATTTCGAATCCTCTAAGGCAATCCCAACAAGGAACTACTTTGGGGCCTATGGGTAATGGGGTTTCCGGGATCTGAAGGATTTGGAGACAGCTTTAGGGATTGGGGCATTTAGGGTTTGCAGTCGGCTTCGAGGTTGGATTCGGGGATGGGGCTGAGGATTTGGGGTATACCTTAACACTGAATACCCTACCTTTTTAGGGTTCCCTACTATGATTTCCTTGTATAAGTCCTTAAAAAGGTAGGTTCTTCAGGGTTAAGGTGGAGATGCTGCCATGCCACCCAATGTCTCTGTGCTCGAACTGCCTCCGTTGTGAGGAGAGCCACCTGAACCCTAAACCCTAAACCCCAAACCCTAAATCCTTAACCCCAAAACCCTAAACCGTTGAAAATAAAATCTGCCAAACCACCTGTTGCTAGCGTTGCTCGTGCTGAGATCATGCTTGGCTTGCCAGTATAGCCTAGTGCCTGTGTATGTAGGTGTTTGACTCTGACGGTTACCGTTGCGGAGCAAGTCGTCGTCGTAGCCGTTCTGGGAGAACCCGTCATGGACTGCGAGCTGAAAAACCCAGGAACTACCTATAGTCTCCATTGTAGTTCCTTTTTTGGTTAACCAAAATCTCTATTACAGGATCCTAAACCATGAAACTGCTTAACCAAAAAAAGGAACTACAATGGAGACTATAGGTACATTGAACAGGATGGGCGGCGTCCACGGCTGATCTTCTTTTCTTGTTTTATCTTCTACTACCTCTTAATCTGGAGGTATGCTTACCGTCCTTCTTCGATGCTCTCTGCTGGCAGCACTGCCCAGTGCTACAACTATGTGCTCTCGCTGAATCACGTGCCTTGTATATTTTTTCTACAACTTGCAACCCCGATACCTAAACCCAAAAACTGAAGATCTAACCTTCAAACACCGCAACCCAAACGGCAAACCGTAAAATCAAACTGAACACTCAATACCTTGAAATCCGAACACCCCCCCCCCCCCCCCCCCAAAAAAAAAAAGCACACTCCTGATCCCGAAACCTGCAAACCAGGATTGAAGAAACGACAAATCCCTTATGTAGAACCACTACGATTCTACAACAAACTGTCAAGACCCTTCAGCCTGAGTCGACGCAACAACCCTCCTTGGTCCAACGTTTTCCCAAGCATTGCTAGCACCAATATCCTTGGTCTCGTTATGATGACGACGACTGCTTGCCATGCCACTATGATAGAGATGATTACTTAACCCTTCGTGCCAACATTAACTATCTTATCAGTGCAGTGTTATAGTGTCATCGCCACAGTTTCTACATGCCCTGAACCCAAAGACCCTTGGACATATCCCAAGACCTTTAACCCCAGCCCTAAACCCCCAAACCCCACGACGCCCTAAACCGTAAACCCTAGACTATAAATCCCGAAGCCTAAGATCGCAACCCTAAGCCCTAAACCCCCAAACACTAAACTCTAAACCCGAAATCCACAGCACGCCCTAAACCCTGTGACAGGGGAGTTTCCGAAATCAGG